CCTGTAGACCCATGAAAGCCTGTGTCCATGCCCAGCCCCGCTCTTGGTGGTTGATCATCTGTATCTCGTCGATGACAGCCACATCAAATCTAGTATTGAGCGGGGCCATCTCGACAGTACAACTGTACATGTTGGCGTGTGTGTCCTCAGGCAAGCGCTGCTCTTCACCCGTAACCAGAGCGCATGGCTTGCCCTTTGCATTCAGGCGCGTGTAGACCTCATGGGCGAGGAGTCGCAGCGGACCGAGGTAGATGCCCGAGTTTACTTCCTCCAGACGCTTCAGGGCGTGGTACGTCTTGCCAGAGTTGGTCGGCCCAACGTGCATGTGCACTGTCCGCGTAATCTCTCGTGTCGCTGGATACCATTCGGCTGGGTAGCGCAGGTCTGCCACCTCCTTCTGGTTCTCCGCCTCGGCCGTCGTGAAGCGGCCGCCACATGCTTGCGCATAGAACAGATATCGTAGCCTCTTCTCAAGAGTAGTCTTTCTCCGCTGGGCCTCCTGTACCAAGGTGACCAGCTCACGCGGGGCCTGCTTGATCCATAGGGTGATGGAGCGCTCGAAGGTAGTCCATTCCTTGTCGAAGTCTTCGCGGCTTATTTGGAGTCGGTCGAGAAATTCTGGCGTGGCGAATTCCTTGTGCAGGGTGTCTAGTTTGTCGCGGACTATGCCTATGGGTATTGACGACTTGGAAGATCTGGAGTCGCCTCCTTTCGAGAGTTTACCCTGCTGGAGAGGATTGAAATGCGCGGTCTTCGAGGGCTTAGCTGGGCCGGAACGATGTGCGGCTTGGATTCGGGGCAAGAGGTTTTGGGTTCGCGATCGAGAGCGGGCGGCGAAAGAGCAGATGAGACATAGCGAACTCCGTCGCGCAGGCAGCAGAGGCATGCCAATGGTGGGTATCATGCGGGATAGGAAAGAAGAAAAGACAGAATCCAAAGCGCCAGGCGCCTGTACAAACAAAGGACGACAGGAATGTTCAAGTCGACGACGTAATGTCGAATAAAAAGTTGCCAAGCATCTACCACAGTAGTACCGTAGGGACCTCCGGCGGCGCCTGCCCGCCGCAGCTCGCGACGCAACTCTAGCTGAGACGCGCCTTCCTCACCACCGCCGCGACAGCCCAGCACCACGTGTGCCTCGCCCCGACAGAGCTGGCCCACACACGCCCTCGTCTTCGCATCACGTTACCGCCGCCTCTTCCACCGCGTCGCCCTTTTCCAGCGGCATTCGCTGCGATACCCCGCCAACATGGCTTCCATGATCGATATCCAGCGCGACCGTAAAGACACACCTCGAAATTCCTGGGGAACACGTGCTGATAGGCCACATAGTCATTCTCAACTCGATCAAGCAGACCACGCGCGGCGACGTATGAATCTCTCCCAATGCGCCTGCACTCCGCTAACGGCTACCGCGCAGTGGAAGATACTCATTGTGGACGAGGACAGCCAGAAGCTCATCAACAACGTGGTCAAGGAAGATGACATCCTCAACCTCAACATCACAAGTACGCGACTCCATATGCTACCACGACGCCAGATCCTAACCTCGCAGACATCGAGCGCATCGAGGACCGGCGGCAGACGATTCGCGACATGGACGCCGTGTACATCATCACGCCCAAGCCACACATTGTCGACTGCATGATGGCCGAGTTTGACCAGCGCAGATACCGCGGCTTCTTTCTGATATGGACAACGCTGCTACCACCACACCTTAAGGAGCGCATAGACCGGTCGCAGATGGCGCGCGAGCAGATTCGGAGCTTCCGCACAGTGCACCTCGACTTCCACCCCCAGGAGTCGCACCTCGTTACCTTCAAAGACCCATGGAGCTTCCCCATCCTCTACCACCCCGAGTGCAACAACCTCGTAGTGCGCCACATGGAGGATATTGCCGAAAGAGTGGGTAGTCTACCTCTCCTGGCAAGCTTCTGCTAACAGCCCCAGATCACCGGAATCTGTGTCGCACTCGGCGAATACCCCATCATCCGATACTACCGACCACGAGCCCCAACCCACGAGGCCAGTGTCTTGTGCTCACACCTCGCCCGCTTCGTCCAAGACAAGCTCGACATGTACGCGCAGTTCAACCAAGACTTCCCCCCGCAATCGAACCGACCCCGCGGTGCCCTCTACATCACCGATCGATCCATGGACCTCATGGCACCCTTCCTCCACGAGTTCACATACCAAGCAATGGCCATGGACCTGTTGCCTATACAAGACAGCGACAAGGTGACCTACCGCACCATTGTCAACGAAGAGGACCCCGAAGCGGAGGAGAAAGACATGGAGATATCCGACAAGGACAAGATATGGGTGGAAAACCGCCATCGGCACATGAAGGACACCCTCGACAAGCTGATCAGCGACTTCCAAAAGTTCATCGCCGACAACCCCCATTTCACAAACCAAGACGCCCAGAACGCTGCTGGCATGAACGGACTGAATGCAATCAAAGATATGATCGCTGGTTTGCCCCAATTCCAGGAGATGAAGGAAGCCTACTCGCTCCATCTCACCATGGCGCAGAAGTGCATGGAGATCTTCCAGAAGCACAAACTCCCAGATCTTGCTTCAGTGGAACAGGTGAGTCCCTTCAATGTTGGGTCACGGCTATCGCTAACCTTTCCAGTGCCTTGCTACCGGTCTTGACGAAGACTACCGCAAGCCCAAGAACATGACTGACCAGATTGTGCGCACGTTGGACGACGAAGAGATAACGCCAGCTGACCGGCTACGCCTTATCGCGCTCTACGTAATCTTTAAGAACGGAATACTACCAGCCGACCTCCAGAAGCTCCTCTTCCACGCACAACTGCCACCTCCCGACGGCGACGTTATCCGTAACCTTGACCTCCTTGGCGCGCGAGTCGCCAGACAACTGAAAGAGAAAAGAGATGCACAGCCACCGCTCTTCCCACCGAAACCAGCCCCACCTCCAAATACCGAGGACTACGGTCTATCCAGATTCAACCCGGCTCTCCAGGACATGTTAGAGGAGCACATCCGCGGCAGCTTACCCCAGGACGTCTTTCCCTTCACTAAGATGTCACCTGATGATGTCGCGAGCATGGCACAGGAAAATACTGCCCCCGCTTCCCTCCGCACCGCAAAACCGACATGGGCTAAATCGCGACTTGCGAGTGCGGAGCCCCGTCAACGCGTGATTGTGTTTGTCGCCGGTGGTGCAACCTACTCCGAGGCCCGCGCCTGCTACGATGTCTCGAACAAAACTTCGCGAGACGTCTTCCTCGTCACCTCACACATGATGAAGCCGCAGCTCTTCCTCCGCCAAGTCGGCGATCTCAGTCAAAACCGCCGCAGTCTGCGCTTACCCATCGATCAACCGCAGCCTATAGCCCCAGCACATTTGTTCGAGAAGCCTGAGCCTCCGAAGCCAGCACCACCGTCTGCTGGTACAAAGCCCCCCATGCCCGGGGGCCTGCCATCCGGGCCCAGAGTCGCTGGCCCGAAACCCCCTACAGCAGCCATGGGAGCCATCAACCTCAATTCCAACCCGCAAAAACACAGTCCTTCGCCGTCGCAGAGCAGTACCACGAAGCCTGGCAAAGAAGAGAAAGAAGGCAAAGAGAAGAAGAAGAAGAAGTTGCATCTGTTTTCTTCAAAGCATTAGTGAGGCTTGTTAACATTTTCCTGCTAGGGCGCTGCATACCTTTCTGGCGTTGTTCTGCTTTGTTCACAGCGAGGAGTGATCTTGCTCTTCATTTGCAATATTTGAGAGATAAACTGCATGGCATGGCGTTGGATGGCGTCTGAGAATCTTGTCTGGCGATTGCCCGAGGTGTATAGCTAGAGACAAGTATTTGGGATTTTGCTGTTGGGGTATAGACGTGAGGTTGGTTGCCTCTACAATAGGAAATAAATGTACAAAAATCATACATCATAACAACACTTTAGCCTTGCTGTCTGTTCCGGCTGATCAGAACTTGCCACGCCTTTTCGATCCACGTACCCGACCCTCCTTCTTCATCGCTCTCGGACAGCTCAGGGCCACACTCCTCGTTCTCATCTTCTCCTTCCCCCCCTCATCTCCCCCTCCCATCCCCCATATCCCCCCTCCTAGTACGCCCACTTCGTCGAGTAATCCCTCGGACTAACAACAAGCCCCTTCCCTTTACTCGCTCCCCTATACACGGCTTCCAATATATCAACCAACTCCTGCTTCGTGCCAATCGGAAAATTGATCTTGTTGTTGTTGCCCGTGCCAAAGTCAACTTGCATATGCTTGTTCCGCCAGAAGAACATGACGGTGCAGGGGTCGTAGATTTCGTACATGGCGTTGAATTCGGGGACGAGCTGGGGGTGGTGGTGGTGTTAGTTGGGTTGGAGATGGGGGGAGGGAGGGAGGGAAGGGAAGGAGGGAAGGAAGGGAAAGTACCTTATTGTCGACCACATATATGACGACCCAGTCTTTGACTGCGTCTACGATTTTGTACAGCATCTCGTCCATCTCCATGCATTCGGGTGTGTAGTCGGCGCCGAAACGGAGGCAGACTATGCGGGCTTCTTCGCTGAGCTGGAGGGTGTTAGTTTGGGCGTAGTGGAGGGTAGCATCTGACAGAGTAGGTCTGGTGGAATTGATGAGTGTAGGACACGTACGATGGCTTGGTCGACGTGCCATGCTGAGGGCAGGTGCTGCAGCATTACTGAACCCATGGTGACGAGAGTTAATTGACTGTGTTTCTCGGAGATGTATGGGGAAGCAGATGAGAAAAGATATCGAAGACGTTGTTGTGCGAAACAGGTGAGAGAGAAGTCGAGGAAAGCACGATCTGATAGACGCCATCACATGCCCCATCTCCCTCCGTTTGCACCTTCCAAACCTCGTTTGCTCGAAAGCTGCAGACATCCCCACCTGCACCTACCCAAACAGCTCTATCCATAGATACCTACAAACCATTCGCTAAAACAAAGAAACCACACACCCCAACCCATCAGCACAAACAGCCCAAACCCACCCTCACACCACAGCCCTACTCCCCCACCCCACCCGCATAATACTCCCCCACCCTCCTCTCCGGCGCATAATATCCCACCCCCATCCTCTGCTCCACACACCCCGTTCTTTTCGCCACCATCTCCTGCACAAAAGCCTCATAACTCTCATACGGCCTCCCCCCCTCCCGCGGATGTTTCTTCGCCCAAGCCAGAAACGCGGCTTTCTGTTCTTCAGCCGCTTGTTGCTGTTGTTCCAACGACATCATCTTCTGCTTCTTGCCTTTCTTGCCTTTCTTGCTGTTGACAACGGGCTGTGGGCGGCCGGTTACGGGGTTGCGACCTGCTGCTTGGCGGGCTTCGGCTAGGAGGTCGGTGTGAGGGGGTTCTGGGTGTGTGGGCTGTTGTTGGGTTCCGGTCACGGGGTTGCGGTTGGCTGCTTGACGGGCTGAGACGGGGAATTCAGTGTTTGGGGCTGGGGGTTTGGGGGCGGTGTATTGTTTCTGGTATGGATTCGATTTCCCGCGGAGCTTGTTGATGGGGGAGAGTAGGGCTGATGTGATGGAGAGACCTGCCATGCTGCTGTTGACGGGGAGTAAGCCTTCACGGCTTTGCGACTTTCTCCTCTAGTTGCTGTGGGTATCGAAAGCTGGACCGGAACCTCTCAGAAGCTGCCCTCGTAGTCTTTAGAATGCCGATGTGTGTTGCTCATGAAACTTCACGAAGAGACGTAGCCGCCAAACGCTCTTTCTGCTGCAGGTTGGCGTCGAGATCAAGACTATATCGCACGTTCCCAACTCTTTCAAACAAAATTATCCGAGATGACTCTATACCTGCTGTTGTCTGAGACAATTACACAACCTGGTTGGAGCCTAGGAAGTGCCAGGGGGCTGAGCGGTAAGGCCTCCAAGCTAACCGCATTGAGTGCCAGCAATGAACAATCGGTCAAGTGCCAATAAGTCCAGTCGTACCGATCAGGAGAAGATGTCAAAATTGATTTAGGTGTGAATTTAGATAGCGAAAGCAACAAGCTACTGGAGAGAGCCTATAACTATGCTCTCATCTTGAGCAAGGTACAAAAGCTCCCGGCCTCCCGATACCGAAACCCGACCGGAAAGATTAGGGTGCAACGGTACATCCGAGCCAATACTGACTATCGGTGTACCGTACGGAGAATTGAGCAAACGTGATAGCCAAATGTATTAAGCGTGAGACCGCTGAAAAGAAAGGTGAATAGCAAAGACGCCCAAGACAAGCTGAACAGTCAGCCGACCAAATTACCACATTCTCCCCTTACCCTTACTGCCAGCTGCTGGACTGAGCGGTGGAAACGCATCCTCGGCATCCTTCCGACTCTGCTCTTCAACAAGACTCAGTTGCATGGCGAACTCTAAATCTGACATTTCGCTCTCGTTACTTGCACCAGCAGCGGCCTTACCCTTCCTGGGCGTACCCTTTTGGGAGCGGGATTGCGGAGACTTCTTGCTCTTGGCGTACTTGATCGGAATCTCGAACGCAGAAGGAGGCGTAGAGGCGAGTTCATAGCTGCCAGTTCCGGAGCTATCGTTGAGAGAAAGACGAATGGCTTCGGCGATGTCGGCATCCAGTTCATCGTCGTCCTTGGTATCAGGCGATGAAGGTTGGCCTTGGATGCTCGCCTCTGGTGTTACAGGCTCACTCTTAAGTGCACTGCTTTCGCGCTCGATGCGGCGTAGTTCGTCTGCCTCAGCAGCCTCTTGCGAAAGCATTGCAGCGTATGCTAGAGCTTCCTCCTCACTTAGTAACTCTGTGCCAAAACGGCCTGCTAAATGCTCAGCCTGCTTATGACGCTCTTGTCTATCACGCTCCAACTCAAACTGTTCGTTGGCGATGTAGTTCTTCAGGTTGACTCTGCCTGTACCGGCAAAGCGCTCTGTAGTATTGTTGCTTCCACGCTCGGCTCTTCGCAACCTGCGTTTACTGCTTCTGTACTGATCAGCTGCAGATGAGCTGTAACTCCAGAATCGAAGCTGATTGCCAAGAGACACTGCACCGCGCAAGACCGTCGGATCAGGATCCAGGCATACGGCACCAGCAGCAAACATGTTGATGCCGACTCCTTGAACGGAAGCCTGGGCCTGCACGAGCTGTCTACGAGCGCGCGACGCGTGACGGGAGTGAAGTGTTGTAATGGGCGACATGCTCGAGGCTAGTGGATCCCATGCCTGTACCAAGCCGTCGTTTCCACCTGCTACGAGATAGAGTGAAGTGACAGCCACGCAGGATATCTCTGGCGAATCAGTATAGATGATACGAACAGGCTCAATATCGTTTGTGTAATCCGACGAGCGCGACGTAGGCGCCCGGACATCCCAAAGCAGCACCACGCCAGACTTGGTACCAGCGGCGAGGAACCTTGCGCGCTGTCCAGGAATGTCAGAGGGAGAGGCCGGCTGGCTTGCAACAGACATCGGAGAAGAGTAAGGCGAGGATGCAGTCGAAGCAGTCGAGAAACCTAGCGCAGGATCCTCAAACAAGGTCAAAGTGGCGAAGGTAGAGACGTCCAAAGCTGTGGTAGTCACCTGAGTGCTCTTGAACCCGCCGAAAGTCAGCTTCGAGCACCTCCATTCCTCGAATAGAGCGGCTCGTTCTGGTGAACTTGTGCCCGAGATATATGAAGAGCTGCGACCACGAGGAGGTTTTGTATGATCCGCGCCAGGGCCGCCGAATAAAGACGTAGCTTGCGCAGGCTGAGGCGCGAACATGCGACTCGAGATGTTCGTACTCTTGTCCTTTTCGTCGATCTTACATCGGGTGAAGCGTTTGATATCGGCGACGTCTCCCTCTTCAAGCCCGCATTCGAAGACCACTACGGATTCCCCAGCATGATTTCCATCGTCTCCAGCAAAGTCGACCTCGAGCGTTCGTCGCATGTCCCATCCAAGGCATGCTTTTCGGAAATGTTTTGGCTGCTTGCGAAGATATTCCTGGATCTCCCTTGTTTCGGCGATGATCTGATCCTTGCTCAAGCATATGCCATCCCACGAGGTTCGCGGCGAATAACTACCGTCGACATCGGCATCGCTGTACGGGTCAGGCCTCGCAGTACGCCGGCTGGGCTCCACCAAGTTCCAGTAGACGGTGCGGCCAGTGAGCCAACCCAGATACTCCGAGTAGTGCTCAATGTCGCCTTTCGTGGCCTGGCTGCGAGTTGGGAATTTAGTGAGGTAGAAGATCTCGCCGAGTGCATTCAGAGCGACCGCCCAAATGCGGTTCTGAGCATAGCGCTTGGTTGAGTATTGTTCGTCAACGGCGATGGCGATAATAGGCACTCCTGGGCTGAGAACCCAGCGCGCAGTTAGCTCCCCACGCTGTACACGGGACGAGCGAAGACCATCTGTACCGATGCTACAGGCACTGACGACGCCAGCTGCAGATCCCATCATCATGCCAATCAAGCCATCCGAAAGCGTCGGGATCGTGTTTGACTTGGCGATCCAGACGCTGCAGGTAGCACCACCGTCGATGCCCAGCTTTGGTATACCGACTTCAGGCATAGCGAAGTCGGTGGGTTCAGCTATGAATCGACCACGCATCTCCTCAAGGGAGCGGTAATAACACGAGCCCTCGGGACAGCCTTGGCCATAGATCATGCCGTATGGCTGCGATATGTCCATAACATTGGGCCGCCCGACGACCTCCCCGGAGCCCAGACCCCACTCTGCGGTACCCGGAAAGCGTTCTGAAAATTGGCCATAGAAGTGAGGGTCGCTCTGTCCCCAAGGATCCACTTTGCCGGTCATCGGATCGCTGCTGGTCACCATGCCGATATCGTCTGCACCATGAATGAAGCGCGGCATCTTCTTGTTCAAACCCGATCCGAACGTGGCCTGCAGGTGGTTGATAATGGTATACGTTTTGGCATCGTAGGTAATCATTGGGGTGATGGTCTGCATTTGAGACGCACGGGACGGCGTCGCAGGTACCTGTACAGGCTTGCCCCTGACCAAAGATCGCAACAGTCTTGTGCGTAGAATGTACTCGCTCCTCCACGATGCCAGCGCAGTGAGCCTGGTGAAGCGTCTCTTTTCTGACCGCACGACTGAGCCACTGCCCTCGAGGGCTGAACGAAAGGCGGCATCTTCGAGTGAGTGCGGGCCAGGGAAGTAGCGACCGAATGCCACCTGCCAGGCGTGTGGGGTAGTGACTACATCATGGAAGCGGCGAGAGACGAGGGACACGGCGGCGAGATCGTTTGGTGACAGGTGGGCGATAGCATGGATCAGAACCTCTACGCATCGTCAGCTCTTATTCATGCATTCACGTCCCGCCCGTTTTCGAGGCATTTGTACAAACCATTAGGCAGGTTCGCGATAGGAGAGCTCTTATCGCTGGGCTTCTTGTTGCTCTTGACGATCTCGAAGAGGGGTCCGTCAGCAGGCTTTCGCGGTGAAGACTTCAGCGCATTCTCGTATTCGGTGATCCTGTCCCTCGGGGGTGGTGAGGGAGACGCGACGCGCTTCAGTCCATCTGTTTCCTCGGTCCCGACTGTATTCTCGGCCTCTGAACGCGTCGCATCGCGTGCGAACCCGCGGGGTTGTGGCCCAGGCTCGCCCCGCAGCTCACCCGAGTGAGGCTGCAGAGAGACCTGGAAGTCAAGGCTGCGGCGCTGTCCATGCTGGGAGGTGGTGGCGGTGTCGAGAGTGGTTTGCTGGTACGAAGCGTTTTGTGATGCGTTGATGGGCTCTGGCTGCATAAAATTTTGGGTCTGGTTCTTGGGTGAGGGCAATCGACCGAGCTCGTGGGAAATGCTCAGTCAGAGGATAGAGGCGTGGGCGAAATTTGGGTAGTTGGTATCGTTGGAGTGGAAGGGAGTTTGGGGGGTGCAGTTGATGACTCGGTTTGCGGTTGCCAAGTCGGCGGTGATCGATATGACGATCGCCACTTAGGGAGCTACTGTACGAACGTGGGGGGAGCAAATGATACTAACAATTTGCAGCAGTGGGCCGACTATCACATGGCGTGTGGAAACGTCACCACTACCTAGGTACGGCCTAAGTACCTGAATGTAGCCGGCCTCGTTCCGATAAGTTCCGAAGCAACAAGTGCACTGCCGTCTACATTGGTGCAAAAGTGAAAGTTGACAACTTCCTCAAGGTAATGTAGACTTCTGGGAGGCATATTTTCAATCGATTCATTGCATAAGATGCTATCATGTACAGGATCGTGTAAACAAATGTTCAACGCCAGCCCTATGCAGACGCCTAGTTTCTCAAGGCACGAAAAGACGCGAGTATGCAGCCACATTAGTCCTGCAACACACACACGCCGTATAGTTCTTCGACGCCAACCCCACCCGACAGTCATCGCACAGGCTCAAACACCCACATGGCCACACCAGTACTGTCCTTGGCGACATCTGGCAAACTACACATTGTGGTCCCTCCGAGCCCATACCTTCTGCACCCGTGTCCCAGCTTCCAGCTGTACTTGCGCCTTGCGGGGCTGTTGCGCTCCGACGACTGAGTATGAGATCTTCCAGAAGTTGCTCTTCTTCTTCGGGTGACATGTTGACGCCGCCACCGCTCATCTTATAGCGTGATGTTGTGAGGATCTTTGCCTCTTCGCGCTCAAGAGCTTTGCGGTACTGCGAGCGTGTCATGATATTGGAGCTCTGGAGGTGGCGAGACAGCAACTTGGCTTCTTCACGATCCTCACTAGATTTCGGATCCAGAAGTTGAGAGAGTCTCGAGAAATCCATTGCGTCGTCAGGGATGGGTGTTGCTTCTCGACTTCTCTGGTATGTTGCACGCGTAGGTGTTCTTTGACCGTCGTCCATGTCTGACCACTCGTCGTTGTCTGTTGTGGTAGCAAATGACACTACACTAGTTGTGTCATCATCTTGCGAGTCAACATAGTCTCTGGTGTTGTCAACGTCATTCCATAGGCTACCGTTGCGCCACCAGGAGTACAGGTAGTTGTCAAGACGTTCTTCAGAATCTTCCCCATTAGGTCCCGAATAGAACCCACTCTGGCGGAGCCTCTCCTTCGCGAAGACCTCAACGTCAAAATTCCGGTCTTGGAGAATTCGAGACCGGTCATCTGTAGTAAGCCATGACTCTCTTGCCGACGCTTGATCAGGGTATCGCGGAGCATATATTTTATCAACATGATCAGCGTGGAATCCAACAGCGCGTTGCAGCCATCTTGGTCGGTAGCTGATCGAGATCTTAGTCAAGGCCCAGTCCGTAATCCTTGCAAGACTAAGTACAATCAACTTTGATATACGGAAGAAGAACTGATAGGTCTGCAAGTAGCGACTACGTTGTTGAATCGCAGGATCATTCTGTCCAATGGCAGGTTCAGTGGATGCCTGTACTCCTCGCGTCTTACGTTCTTTTGCGTAACCCGACAGTGATGTATCCGTTCTGACATCGTTGAGTTCGTCAACTACCTCGATGCCTTGCGCGAATGTGTCGTTCCTGAGCTCGGACGGGATGTCGGTGATCATTTCTCGTGTTCTTCTCCGCCGAGCGAGTAACTTCTGTAGTCTCTGCTTTTCGAGCCAGGTCATTGGGTGCACGTTGACCTTGGTTCCTTCGTTGAGAAACACAGCTTCACTGGCGGATGTGAGAATGACGTAGCCTACCTTGAGTATAGTCGTATAGAAGTCTTCGTGCCAATTAATAGTCAGAGGCGTAATCGAGGACAGATGGATGTTGGCATGTAGATTGCCGTAGGCGGATGCAAATCTCTCTCTCAGAGACAAATTGTCGGCATGTCCTGCAGGTGGAGATAGTACGGTGATGATGAAGGCCAGCAGGTAGATTAGTGCGCATATCGCGATGCCCACAAGTATCAGCAAGTGTGGGATGAATCCAATGATGCATACAGTAGGAAATCTCAGGATCCCCACATAGTGGTCTGGATCAGTGACCATGGTTGCTAGACGAACACAGCTCCATGCGAAAGCTGACATGTAGGCGAGTCCGCAGATTGTTGTCGTGACGAGGCGCCATCTAGAGCGCACTCCGGCGATCGCTAACAAGTTGCTCATGAAGTGGCTGAAACTAGAGATGAGGGAAATCAACAGCACTTCCGGCGGTACATTGGCGATCTTGGAGAGCTTCGACCTCGGAATCGTGAAGGATGTACCATCTGGAGTGAAGACAGACTTCGGTTTGAAGAAGCGTACAGAATCGACCGCTAGCGGCTTCGTAACGACAGCCTCAGCCTCTGCAAATGCGAGCGAATGTTCGAAAATGGTCATTCCGACTTCCTGAATCGGGCGTCTTCCTTGCAGGGCGCATGCCAAGGTATCGACGAACTGGCCAAATCCAAGAGTCACAAACATCGGCCACAGAAGCGCTAGCGATCCAGAAGGCCGCGTGGTCGCTGGGCCGATGGGTAGCATATTCGCGGCTCGGCATGAGCTCTCTGTAGTCTCCCAGAAGAGTATCTTTGACGTGACTTGCCATAGAAAGCCGCCTTCGCCACCGAAGTCCGTATCCAGCTGCCTACCATCCGCTCCGTACTGCATCTCTGACCAACCCGGGGAGGTTTGGCAGCGTATCGCCCGTAGAGTGTTCTGCGTCTGATAGAGGAAGAGGATCAAGGGCATAATGTATAGGGCGAAACGAAGGTAGAGGCGGTCGAAGGAAAGCGGAACGCGGCTGTTGGCGTAGAAGTGTGTTCTGTTAAGCACGATTGCCTGCGACATCATATCAGCAAAGGGTAGTAGTCATAGTCGTGCGAGCAGACGCTCACCAAGGCGAATGTTGCGACGGCCCATTTGGAAGTAATGTAGCTGAACCAGGCGGCTACGTTCCTCAAGGCTTGCCACACGGTCATCTCGCCCTCGGTGGAAATCGCAGAAGCCGCTGCAGCGATGGATTCCTGTACAAATCCCGAGCCTGTAGTCGTCATGGTGCTGTTTGTCATGTTGGCCGTAGGTTCTGCGATAACGCTTCCACCCGAGCGCATCATGTCACCGAGAGAACTGGCCTTGGAGAACAGGCGCGGTAATGCCATGAGCAAGTCTGCTGGCGACGGCAAGAACGAAGTCGCGTTGGCAGACGCGCCTGGCGTCTCCATTGCGGCGGTAGCGGATCGCCGAGGATAAGTAGGTAAGCAGAACTACTCGGAGGGTTGATTAAATCCAGTAGTTATTGAAGCAGATACATGGCGACTGTGAAGACAGATGTGGTTCACAGCAACGGTTGGGCGAAGTGGCTTGAGATTGCGTGAAGATGTAAGGGCGCTGTGGACTTGGTGCGGAAGTCGGCCGTGGAAACCTTGGAATGACGCGACCTCCGAGCCGTCGGGCTGGAGCTGCATAGGTACACTGTAAACCTCCGAGGTATATTGACCTGCGCCACACTCAATACTCCACGATTTCTCAGATGGATTACGACTGTTGTTCACAAAATGCACAAGTGTCAAACATGCCATGACGAATGTCTACGGTGCGTCTATGTCCTTGAACCATGCATACTTTAGTAGCTGGATGATGCATTTCCACGTCCGCTATATTTCAACGCCCATGATGCTAGGGTATGGTACAATCATATGTATACACTCCACCACAGTATCCATCTATGCCGTCTTGGGCTTCTTCGTTCCGTACTTGGACCGTGAGGTGATTCTGCTACCAACACCACCCTGCAGAATGTTAGCGATGTCTTTGCATGATATCTGCGCTCATGAGACCTACCAGATCCAGCGCTCCTCGAACCAAATGGTACTTCACACCAGGGCAATCTTGCGCTCGTCCGCCTCGTACCATAACAACTGAATGCTGCTGTACATTGTGACCTGCGTACTAGTCAGTCTTCCCGTAGCCCACTATTCCCATATGTTTGCCATACCTTCTCCCGGAATATACGCCGTGATAACCTTGCCCGTACTCAATCTGACCCTCGCAATCTTTCGCTCACCCGAGTTGGGCTTCTTTGGCTTCGTCGTTCCCACTTTCAGACACACACCCTTCAGCTCTGGCCTATCTTTCAATTGTGGCGATCGCAGTTTACGCGCCTTCCGCGCTATCCTTCCCTGTCGCAGGACTTGTATTAATGTGCATTTGTGTGCGCGCGACGACGGTGTTGGGCGGGCTGCGAAGGCCGGGGTACTGTTCTGGAAAGCGGAGGCGGCGAGTGATGGCCGTATTGATCGCGCCGGAGCGAAAGGAACTGCGGAGAGAATCGAGGGTCGCGCAAGGCGTCGGAAGAGTGTGAGAGGCATTATGGGCGGGCGCTGTGGTGTGGCTCGAGATGTTGGTCCTGGACAAAAGTTCGAGATGCAAGACGGTGGCTGACTCAGCTAGGATGGCTAGTTGAAGGCCGCCTCCCCAGCGGTACAGACTGCGCACCATCAGAGAATGACATTTCCTGTTGCATTAATGCGAGTGCAATGCTGAACATAACAATTCAACGTGACATAATCATGTACATCTCTAAGAAAACAGCATCACGGTAATCATTCAATAAAACACGTATTTTATTACGACCTAATGGTGCGTACAAAATGAAGGTATAGCGATGGGATGAGAACATAGATCGTATATCGAAGATGACTGCTAATACGCAGGAGTACATCACGAACAACACACGTTCTCACCAGATCACATACAGAGGTAAGGAACACTAGCATCAACTCTCTACCATTATCAGTCTGCGCACTAGCTACATCACCACCTATTGCAACATTCCCACGTGTCTCTAGTACGGCTTCTTGGGGCATTGTAGACAATGAGAGCCTCGTTTCAAGCGAGCACGTCGTTGCCACGCGTCTCCCGTCACTTCTCATGACGGCTCGGGTGACCAGGAATGCAATCGTACATAGTGTATTCTGTGATGACTTCCAAATGTAACGCTGTGCTGAGATAGCGGTGGGAGCCAAGAGGAAGGGTCCGCTTAGAGGAAGTAATCTGGGGTCCTTCGCGACACCATGGGCTCGCCAGCGCGTGGGCAAGGGTCGAATTGCAAGCTGGGACGTATGTTAGATATTGAAAATAGTATATGGAGGGGGGAGGAACTTACAAGGTATACTTTAGATGCTCGTCGATCTCCATGATAGCGGCCTGGTTACCGCATCTGTAGCAGTAGTTCGGTGCTGCATAGGGTCAGTGGGATCATCGGCAACGGAAATATGAAAGACGTACCCGAGAATATGGTAACGACATTCCTGTCTTGCGACCAATTGTACCCCTCCATGACTAGCTGATGAGCACGTGCCACCAACGTTAAGCCGTTGTTGTGGTTGAAGGCCTCTGAGATGTCTTGACCGAAGGTGTATCCAGCACCACGGGGCGAGATTCCCCAGCCGCACCTGTCGTCTGGGTCGGACCAGAGCAGATCGCACATTGGTCCTTCGTGAGGCACCTCCTGTATGCGGTCGAGCGCCCTGATGTTGTCAAGGGTGTCGATGCTAGGGGAGAGACCACCGTGCAGACAGAAGATCTGGTTGTCGATCAGGGCGGTGAGCGGCAGGTAGTCGAATAGGTCTGTGAAGTATTTCCAGACGTTGGCATTGCCGTACTTGCGGAGACACTCGTCGTAAAAGCCGTAGACTTGGGTGATCTGGCGAGACTCGTGGTTGCCACGGAGAATGGTGATGCGCTGGGGGTATCGAATCTTGAGTGCGACTAGCAGGGTGACGGTCTCGACGGAGAAGTAGCCTCTGTCGACATAGTCGCCTGTGCACGTCAGTCAGTATGAGCGGGCAGGGGTGAGGCGGGCAACGCACCCATGAAGAGGTAGTTGGTGTCCGGGTTGGGGCCACCGATCTTGAACAACTCCATCAAGTCGTGGAACTGGCCGTGTATATCACCGCAGACAGTGACGGGGCATTTCTATGCGACGGTGAGCAGATGTCGCAGGCGCGGCAAAAAGGGTACGTACCACTGGCTGTACATTGGACTCGTCCTGAAGTACCTCGCGGGCCTGTAACACGATGCTTGTCAGAAAAGGCGTCCCCGGTGACATTGTGCGCCAGGCGGATGTCGCATACCTTGTCGCATAGTCTCTGCACGTCGCTCTCGGCCAGCTGCTTGCAGCTCATGAGACTCTCAATCCAGCCGTCCAGCGTGGGGATTGTGGTCGGCTCAGTCGTAGGGGCAGACGACAGCTGCATGGGCTCTGGCATCTTGACGTCCTCCATATTGGTATCCATGGTTGCGGGGCGGCGGGATCGATGTAGGTGGGGGGTCGATCGGTTGTTGTGATGTAGAGCTGTCGAGGGGTTCTTGCCCTTTCAAACTCGACCAATGACGTGCAGCAGACACGAGTAGAGGCGGTGGGCGGCAGCGACTTGCAATCCGGGGGGCGTTGGGGTCGGAGGCTGTGTGTGGAGTGCAAGGCGATATCGACGGCGGCAGCAGGATCTATGACAGGAATATGGGGAGAAGCACGACCACGCACTGCAGGCACATACTACCTTGGAAGCAGGCCGTAATGGTGGATTGTTTCTCCGCGCCGGGTACCAAGAGCCTCAGGCAATTTAGCGCGAACCGTTAGCCGCGGGTCTGTGCGCGGCCGCTACTGCGGGCAGCTTTGTGCAGCAGCCGCGACCCTCGTCCCTTCTCCACTCTACACCACTTCCACCCATTGTTGTCACTATTGCCCATCGCACCCACCACCGCGACAAGCAATACCAGCAATGTCTAACAAGCGCGCTTACAGCGCCTACCTCTCCAGCGCGTCTGCGGATATGCTAGTCGCTGCCAATGGCTTCGGCGCTCCTCAACTGCAGGTGAGTAGTCGTCGCTGCCTATACTGACGCGACGCGAGCTGACAACAACGGCAGGCGCAGCAACACACACCTTCCTCAATATCACATCTGCGTATCCCAGGCGGATGGCCACAAGATCACATCATTGCCGCCGAGGAAGTCATACCTCCGCGCGCTTCTCTCTTCACTACGCTCGGCAAGTGGGCTGCGACCGTGAGCGTTACCAACCTGCTCTCACTCCCCACACGCCTTGCAAACCGTTATCTCCGCCGCGAGAGTATCAAGGCGATCCCCATCATCTCCGCTACCGGCTCCAACAAGAAGCGCTTCATCTCCGCAGGTCTGGCAGACGAGGAATGCGCGACACCTTCGCCTTCAGTGCGCGCGCGCGCGAACCAGGCGCGTCGCGAACACCAAAGGCAGGCGCGCGCGTCAGAGCTAAGCCCCAACCAATTCCGCGTTCCGCCAATTCAATATACGTCATCAGCACATACACAAGAATTCGAGGAGATCGTGCCTGGAGCATACAATAAGGATGTATCTCTCGACGAGGGCGGCAACGTCAGCCTGGAAGAAGACGAGGACCTTGAGGTCAGTGTCGACTTCTCTTTCGAGGATGTCTTCACTTCCACCCCGCCGCGCAACCCCCAGACCGGCTCTCCCATGACAATATCCTGGAACAGTCCTCAGGTTGCCTCGCCTGCGGTTGCCTCGCCCCCAAGCCCGTTCTTGTCCTCCCCACTATACCACTATGACTCGCCTGCCTACGACAACGCCAACCCGGCCTGGATCTCTGAGCTACGCAATGCTTCTACTGTCCAAGCCTCTTCAGGTCTTACGTCATCGTCGGCACAAGGACTGCCCTCACCGCAAGCATCCGCAAGCCCAGCCCCCAATGGCAAGCGCACTTCCAACCTGCCTATGGTCACACCTCTGCGACGCCAACTGGTCAAGGCACAGATGTACAGGGAACGCAAGCGCATCGCAAGCCTCAATGCCGCGCTCGAGTCTACGGAGGAAGGTTTCGCCGATACCGAGCAAGCTAAGAACAGCTTCGCCGAGTCATTCAACCAGAACCCCTCTCACTCCACGAATGCTTGGTCATCAGCATCTCCATCACAACCAAAGACTGAAACCGAAGCTGCCGTCCCCGACTTCGAGTACGCCAACGACTTGTCCTTTCTCCCTGAGGTCCCTGAATCCTCTGAAGTCGGATACGCCAACGACTTATCATTCCTCGTTGATGCGCCGTCTCCGCCGCGCGCGAAGGGAGTGCGATGGGAAAAGGATGCTAAATGCAAGCCCTTCTACGTCGACACAAAAGTCAGCGAGATGCTCGACTCCACACTAGAGACGATTACTTCCAGTCCGATCAGGAATCACTACAACGTGTCCCAGAACAACGATGGCAGCGCATCAAATGACAGCCAGGCGTCAGCATCTTCTCGCTCGTCAGCAGACAGCAGCCCGCAGATAACCCTTCTTGACTCCCCTGCGCAAAATGGTGGCTGGCGCGGTGTCTCCGTTGATGCTTTCGATGCACCTGACGAATCGCTCCTGGAGTGCGAGTTCTCGCTGGAACTCCTCGAAGACCTTCAGCGGGAAATGCAGAGGAAGCTTGCCTTGGCACCGCCTCCCCCACCGCCACAGAAGCCACTTATTGCTCCGCTCACTCCCGAGGAAGAAGCTGTACTACAAGACGCCGCAGCCAAGACCAAGTTCGGCCGCAAGCCAGAACAGTATGTCATTGACGACAAGCTATACGCTCGAGACTTTGCGACCCTGTTGCCTCGCGTCTTCAACGGTGATCCCAGGGCATGGTTGAACGACAGCATCGTCAACGAATATCTTTCCATTCTCATCGCTGCCAAGAAGAAGGAAATGGGCTTCGCTCACCAGCGCAACGGTCCTGCACCGCCACTTCACGCCTTTTCGTCATTCTGGTACCAGACTGCCGATACTTCCCGCTGGACCAACAGGTTCCAGCTGAAAGGCAAGCAGTATCTCGACGCCGACCTCATCCTCTATCCTATCTGCGACAGAGGTCATTGGCGTCTGCTCGCGGTTTATCCTCGGGAACGCACTATTGAGTACTTTGACTCCATGGGTCTTGACGGACAAAACTACATCGACAAGCTCGTCAAATACCTCGAGCAGGAGCTCGGTGAATACTGGGTTCCTTCGGAGTGGAAGAAAGAAACTGGCCAGAGGAGTGAGCAACAGAAGAACGGCAGCGATTGCGGTGTCTTCACTCTCCTGAACGCTTTGACCCTCATCCGCGGCGACGCTCCCACTCGTGTCCTTTCTACCGACGGCATGGACGATGCACGCAAGCGTATCGCAGCCACTCTATTGGCCGGTCATCCCACTACCGAGCTGGAATGAGTACAACTCTTCCATTCTTCATTCAAACACCGGTCATCCCACTACCGAATGGGAATGAGTACAACTCTTCCCTTCTTCATTCGAACACGAATTCTGTTTTCAGTTTGCATTGCATGGGTCGGCGATTTCCTCTTTTCGCATTGTTTTTGGCGCACAGCATGGAGTACGGTCACTTACGAGGTTCTTTACGACGGTTACATTACGACCCGGATACCCCATGATACCCCACCGCCCACAGAGGCTTGAGCTTGTGCATATTTGGAGTTTTGTTTTTTTGGTACCCTGGTAGTTGTCCAGAGGTCTGATAGCGAGCGGATTGTTCTTGTTTGTACCTTGGTAGTTGCCTTGGGGTGTTTTTCTTTTCGCAGAGCACGTGGTACGCTCGTCTGTTTATACAGCGAGAGGCTCAATTTCTTTTCTTAGCAGGGCACGTGGTACGCTCGTCTGGTCATCCAGCGAGAGGCTCTTGTATTTGTTTCCTTTCTTGTAGCTAGTTCTTTACTCTTGCCTTAGTCCTCCTGGTTTGAGACCTTGACTCGCCCCTTCGGGGGTTTGAGTTGGTCTCGCCGGGAGGACGGGCAGCGAGAGGCACAATTGTGTTATAGCATAGCGTAGTGTTTGCAGTAAATTAGACTGTACTATATACTCTGCATCGCAGGCTCTATGAGGCAACCTTGACAGTGAGCTTACCAAAGTGCTTCTGGTCCCACATGTATTGGTACGCGTCCTTGAGATCCTTGAGCTCAAACACCTTCTCGTCAACGATGGGGTGCAGGTCATTTGCCTCAATTGCCTTGCACATATCCTCCATCTGCAGCCTTGAACCGACCAAAACACCGCGCACAGTGCAGATGTTGTTCAGGCAGTCGAGGAACGTAGGCTGCTCCTTTCCGCCGCCGCCAATGAAACCGATAATCGAGATAACGCCGTCGATGGCAATGGCCTTGAGAGACTGCGCCATCGTGGTCGGGCCGCCAACCTCGACAACGTGCTGTACACCAGCGCCGTTGGGAGTAAGCTTCGCGGCTTCCTCACCCCAGTTGGTCGTCTCCTTGTAGTTGATGACGTGGTCGGCACCATACTTCTTCAAGAGATCGGCCTTTTGTGCGGAACTGGTTGTCGCAATGACGCGGGCGCCAGCTGCCTTTGCGAATTGCAGAGCAAAGATGGATACACCACCGGTACCTTGTGTGAGGACTGTGTCACCGGGCTTGAGAGCGCGTGACTCCAAACCGTATAGGGCGTTCCAAGCTGTGAGGGCGGCGCAGGAAAGAGTAGAGGCCTCGAGCATGTTCAGGTTGGAGGGGGCCGCAACGAGACCGGCTTCGTCGAACACGCCGTATTCGCGCAGAGTACCGTCGATGGCGCCTCCGAGACCGGTGCCGAGGGATTGTGCGTCTAGGGAGCCGGCGATGTGGCCTTGGTTGAAGAGGGTGACTACCTTGTCTGGGTGGTGTTAGAAGACTGCATGCATCGGTCTGCTGTGTACAGGAATACGAACCTCCAGGCTTGAAGCGTGTGACGCGCTTGCCGACCGATTCTACAGTGCCGGCGCCGTCCGAGCCAGGCACAGTGTTGTCCTTCATCGGGAAGGGGTATTTGCCCTTGGGAATGATAAGGTCGCGGTAGTTCAATGATGCGGCGTGGACTGTCAATTGGTCAGTATTATTGCGGGAGGCTGTTCGATGAGCTCTACGCACCCTTGACTAGAACGTCCTTGTCGCCCATCTCAGGTACCTTGGCCTGCTCATTGAATTTGAGAGACTCAAAGCCATCCTGGCCTTGGACGGTCCATGCCTTTGTCGTTGATGGTGCCATGTTGTAGTCAATTATGTGTGTGAGTGTTGGCTATGGGGAATTCGAAGGAGCTGCAGAAGACCTTTGAACCTTTATGACGTCTCTGCCATGACGGTGCCTGCTCCTTATGTACTGCCATGTGCATGTGGGGTCGTCGAAGGTCCGAATAGTGACGCAAGAATAACAAGAGCTAGCCCGAGTTCACGTCACAGCTTGTAGCTCCCCTGTACATTGCGGCTATCATGGATCATTAGCTTCCTGAACTGTTGGCGATCAATCTGGCCGCACGGGGAAGACCCAATGGCGGCGTTGTCGCCATGATTTCAAAGGCGAACTGCCGGTCTGGAAGACGAGTTTGTCAGGATAGCTGACCGATGTTCTGCTTGCCTTGCCGGGAATTGCTCGGATTTTCGGTAATCGAGCCTGGAGCTGCGCGCAACATGGCAGATGTCGGCAAAGGTCGCTGGAACCGCATTTGTAAGCTCCAGGTAGGCGGAGTGGGTCCGATGGAGAAACGCGAGGATGTCGCGTGGTTTCGCGCCTACTCATGCCCCGCACCGTCTTCTACTGCCTTCTACCAAGAGAGTCGTCTTTCTGAGGCACCCCACCATACTACACTTGGAAAGATGATAGGCGATATAGGCTGTAATATCGAATGCGGTAGATGTCTCTTGCGTAGCTTCCTTTGTCATACTTACAATTTGTAAAAGCGAGCACATCCGCACGCGCGACCTGGCCGTTGGTGTACATCCAACCTAGCCACGTCAACCTGAGGAAAAAGTGAACACCCTGGGGTCTACATTGATGTTAACACACCCACTTTGGATGTACTCATGTTAATGTAGTCTGCAGACCTGTTCGGCTTTTCCCTTGTATGAGGTGCCAGCTCCCACGTGTCTCCAGCTTCCAGCCAGCCACCTGCAGTCGCGCTTAGTGCGACAATGGTCTACCAATAGCCAGTCCTTCCTGTGTTGCGCGCCGCCCACGCCTCATCTCGGTTCCCCAGAATAGAGCACACCTGAGGGAGCGATGATGGGGAAGTGGGGGCTCAGTCCCGGGCACGATGCTGTCTCCATCCCGATCGTCCTTGAGATAGTTGTATGCGACAGCACCGGCACTCATTGAGCCCTCCGGCCGCCCTCCTCTTGTTGTTGTGTTGCATACGCCCACAGTATTACATGTGCAACACCCCGCTGAACGCTAACACTATGGTGTTTTCCTGATGATTTTGGGCCGCGTCGCAATCATCCTATGCTCTCGAAATCGTGCCCTCCTAGACTCACAACATTGCGATAACGATGGCTTCTCGAGGGATTCAGTCGGCTTATTCCTCACGGGATGTTTCACCGGAATCACGCCCTGAACCCTACGATCCCTTTCGCACAGAGTCCGATCCTATCGAGCTCTCATATCTTTCACGGCTATCATCGGATGGTGTAGAGCCGCACATTACTCCCGCACGCTCCTTGGGTCAGTCTCACGATGAGGGTACAAGGAGTGGGTTGCGGGCGGGAGCCTACTTGGGCCTGCCACACGGTGACAGCCGGTATGAGCCGGTGCGTGGAGAACACGATATCTCGGGCCACTCCATACGCTCAACGAGAGAGTCTACGTATACTTTAAACTCGCTCTATCATAAGAAGATCACGGATGCGGACACTCAAGCTCTCGTCGACAGGAGATCTAGCGAATTGGCCCAATGGCACATATACTGGACAACACCGGCTCTCATAGTGGCAATGTTCATGGCAGGGTTTGCGGCAGCAGTGGGTCACCACTTGTTTTACATGCATCTCAATGGGCAGCCCGCCACCGAGCAGTTGAAGATGGTGCGATATGGCACAGCCTTGGCCTTCTTTGTGAAAAGTACACTGGTTGGAACCGTCATCATGTGCAACCGTCAGCGCATATGGTATACCTTTCGACGGAAGGCAATGACGATCAATGGAATTGATGGCCTTTTCTCTGCAACAGAAGATCCGACGCAGTTTTTCCTCAATTGGGAGATGATCAAGAACGGCAAGCTTGCGACACTTATGGCAGCCTGTACATGGGTAAGCTTCGAAGTCTTGCAACACGAATGTATACTGACCTACTCAAGTTACTACCACTTGCATCCGTCCTGTCTCCAGCCTCGCTAACATCTGAGCTGAGAACATTCAACAATACTGCCAGTTGCTCTGTAGCTAACCTAAATTTTACCCAGGAAGCTACATACGACTTTCGGGACATGAACAAGTTCTGTCAAAGGAGCCTAAACTTCTACAACACCACTGAGCCAGCCGAAGAGGAGCGAAGAGACGAAGATCATCTTCAAGCAACAGGAAGCTTCTTCGACTACTACGATCAGCCGTCCAAGAACGCGCGCCGCTTGGCCTTCAGTAGCGTGTACATGCAGAAGCCACAGCCTCGCGAAAATGCGTCTACCGTGTTTTGCGGATCAGGCTGGAATTGTACATACACAATAAGCTTCGTGGGACCCGGCTACCAATGCGAGGATGTCGACGATACTGGTGAATCTGACGCGCCATTCGCATTGTCTGAACTGGCGCCGAACGGAAGCCTCATATACGCTGCAGACGTCGATCAAGGTGACTACGGGTATCAAGATCCAGCGAATGATACAGCGTCTTTAGGCGTGTTCAAAAACGAACCAAACCTCTGGATCGGTTACGCCATCAATACTTCCGAGCCTTACTCGCACGGTGCGGAACCGGAGTACAAGGCCAAATGGGGAAACGTACATGGTAAGTTCTAGCTGTGCGAAACACATGTAAGAGATACACCTCATACAAGAAAAAGGCCGAACAGGTCTAGAGCCTACATTAACGCCAGGTCGTCTATCTTGCAGGTTTCCATGTTGATGTAGGCTGTAGGCCTGTTTGTGTTTTTTCTTGGTTGACGTGGATATACTGACTTGTTACGTCCGTCTCTACAGAACCCAGAATATTCAAATGCGTCATGCAGTACACCAGATATACGTTCAACATGAGCTACAATCCTAGACAGTCCGCAACCCGCCTAGAACGAGAGTTCCTGCGTCCCGTCATCGCCGACCATCCCATCGAGCCCCAGAATAACGTTGAAGAATACAAAGTAACAGCGTCCTTCCATACTCTCGGTTCACTCCTCCGACGTTTCCTGCGTGGAAAAATCGAACAGCAAAAGATCCTCATTACGTATTCAGACCTATCTGAGACACGTTTAGTCAACAGCAGCACCTCGTACCCGTTGGTGAACCTGAAGACAGGGTAAAGTAGCCGCCACGAATAGCTCTTAAGATATTTTGCTAACTTATTACTAGTATGTAGCTCCCCTGCTATGCTTTGCTAACGCGGTTTTAAGACATCTTATTATTCGTGCTAACAGCTTAATAGAGATACAGGACCTTTTCGAAAACATACTCATCACTCTTCTCAACGACCCGAATCTAGTCGTGGTCCAGACTCAAGAAGTGCCTTGCATGAAATCACGAACCATGATGGTGTACGTGTATTACAAGCACTCCCTCTGGATCGGTTACGCAATTGTCATTGCAATCACGTTCGCCTTCATCCTGGTCGGCGCATGGTCGCTCCACATGAACGGAGTAGCTTCGGATGTGCTCTTTTCTCGCATTATGGCTACCACCCGTAATCCTACGCTGGATCATTTGAGCATTGGGGCGTGTTTGGGTGGGGATCCTTTTCCCAAGGAGCTGGCGAAGACGAAGTTACGCTTTGGCGTCCTCCTGGAAGATGATCCTAGGGAAGGACCTTTGGGCAAAGTGGAGCATTGCTGCTTTGGCACTATGGGCGAAACGAAGGAGATTGTCAAAGGTGGCACGTATGCCGGACTGAAGGAGTATAGGGTCGATGCATGAATGATTAGGCATTTATGACTCTATGATGTAAGCTGCCGTAGGTAGCACTGACAAAATTCCCCAAATTTAATGAGTATCCCACGCCAACCTAGGGGAAAACTAAACAGCTTAGAGCCTACGTTGACGTTAGGTTACCTACTTTGCAAGGTTTTAGGTTAATGTAGTCTGCAAGCCTATATGGCTTTTTTCTTGTATAAGGCGTACCTATCCAATCTCCCATGGAATGATTTCGTACATGGATATGTCATGAGTATAACTCGATGAATACAGCATGACATATCCATGTACGAAATCATTCCATGGGAGATCGGATAGGTAGCCTGATTACTATAGAAGCGAATCACCGGGCGTATATACGCCCTGAATACCACGAAATAATGCCTATTGTTCCTCAATCACCACTAGGTAGCCCCAGGCTACCAGGAGATTCTCCTTGGCATTTCGCAACGACTGGCCCATATTCCATGGCTAGACTCGACTTCTAAAGAAAGAAGAAACCTTAAGACCGTCCATCGGTTTCACCAAGACCACCCAGCCGTGTCGGCTGATGTACAGCGAAAGAGACGTAACATAGTTGTGGCCCGGGCCAACTACGACTGCTGACCCATACCCAGACCTAAGAACTCGAATAGAATAGGGTTACCCGCAACAGCGATATACGCAATACCTGATTATGATTAGTCGTTGATTTACTGCTCACAACATACAACGTACCCGTGTACACAATTAACTTCGTGACGACCTCAACATCATAGCGCACTCGCGGTGTCGTAAGCTTCATGAAGATCTCCCGCTTCTCATTCTCCTCCTCAGTCGGGCTTTGTGTGAGCGTGTGGACATCGCCAGCGACGTCTGTGTCGCTCCTTGGAGGAGTAGACGTATTTTTCTCGTTCACATGCACTTCGCCTGTGCCCATCATCTGCTCGTACGAGTGTACCCTAGACGCCATGGGTGTAGGCAGCAGACCTGCGCCAAGTAGCGGTTCCCCCTTCTCGATGTTGGGTGTATCAAGAACTGCGGGGTTGGGTATCCAAGCGGAGTCTTCGGGTACAACACCATCTAGCGAGTTGACACTTTCCCGCCGTCGGCGATTCCGGTAAGCAAGCGTCTCGTAAGCATCGGCAGCAGACTGTGGCCCAACGGATACAGATCGCTTACGCGGGTGGGCGAGATTCTTCAGCATATGTGGCAGCTCTGATGCAGGTGGGATGACGTTGTCGTCATCAGCGAAAGGCTTGATGGACTTGTACTTGGACGCGTTGAGGAAGAAGGCGCGAGGCATGTTCCAACGGGCCTGCTCTAGAAGACGGAAAATGGGTGGCAGGATAGTGAACAAGGCAGGCTTCATGGTCGCTCTCCAGACGAAGATTACTACAACACCGAGTAGAATGCGGATTGTTGCCTTTAGTAGACCCATTTCTTCCAGGTCAAATGGAACAGATGAGGGGTATGCATCTTTCAACGCATAGCCGGTCTGTGCGTAATGCCACGCACCAAGATTGATCCCAATGACCACGCCGGAGAAGGATACGCTATCGTCGTAGCATGGACAGTCGTCAGCAGGCTCCGGATGGATGCGGACCAGAACGCACACGACCAAAGTCGCGATGAAGATGTCCATGTAACTGCCACTGAAGACGAACGAGTCCATCCAGTCCCCGCAGACCAATTGGAATGCCGTGATCAAGGCACCCATTATACTTCCGACAAGGACATCCAGAAACCCGTGCATGCCGCAATACAACCGCCCCGCAATGATGGAGAGCGCGTAGAAGTAGAACAGCGCCTGTAAGCCCGCATTCCAGTTCGAATTGTCTTGCTCGGCTGACTGGCGCAACGTGTATATAGCATAGAAGGCGACCGATACCGCGTTGGCAGAGTGCGACGAGGGGAAGCCGTATTCGAGCGCAGCGGACCCGGACATGGATATACGGGCAAGTGGGGGTGATAAGGGCCTGGGCAAGCAGAGCATGTCCTTGAGGAAGCCCGTTCCATACACACCGGCTGCAAGCATGAAGACAGTCCTGTGTACGTCAGACGTCGCACGATAGTGAGAGACAGCTTCTGACATACGCTCGGCCAATGCTAGTGTAGCCGCACCAGAACTGGATGGGCAGGAACACCATGAAGAAGGTATGTGTGCCGAGGTTGGCGGTATAGGCGAAGTACGAGTCGAGGGCCGGAGAGCGCAACTTGTCCTGCATCAGGGCGAGCCATGGCGTCTCCCAGCGCACAATGGGTATGAGGCGGTTGCGCAGGGCATTGCGCCATCTGGGCAGGCGTTGGGCATAGTGATCGTGGCCCTTGTTGCCGGCGTCCAATTTGGGCTCCTTGGTCGCTGCGGTGTCTTTGGGCGCATCATGTCGCGGACTCATGGCAGCGGTCGCAGAAAGGGGGTGGGCGAGTTAATCGAACGTGCATGTCCAGCGGCGGCGATAGCGTCGTGGAGTAAGACGAGGCTGTAGGCTTGGATGCATGCCATCGATCGATAGACATGGACAGGCACGTTGCAACTTGGCGCTAGTTTAGCGAGCCGCTGGAGACGTAGCGTGGTTGCCATATGCGACCGAGCCCTCTAACAGTCAACATCCACCTCTCTTAAGCCTCGACCACTCGCTCCCCACACCAACTCCAACACCATCTTCCTTCTCCGTATTGATAACCTCGTCTGAAACAAGACACGACTACCCATCCCGCACACTTCCAGACATGGCCACCGCACCTTCCCAGAACTACGACTATCTCCGGCGCAAGCAGAGCACAAAGGCGGCCGTTTCATCAATCACACCAGTCCGCAACCACGCCCGCACACCGAGCGAGCGCAACAGCAATGGCACCGTTAGCTCTTATGGAACCACCAACACACGCGACACAACCATCACTGAACCACCAGCCTACTCCAAGAAGCTCGTTGTTGTCGGTGACGGTGGATGCGGAAAGACATGTTTGTTGATCAGCTACAGCTCCGGCAACTTCCCAGAGGTACGCTCCACCAGCTAAAAAGACATGTCATGTGATTCTAATGCGACTGCAGAAATATGTTCCAACGGTCTTTGAGAACTACATCACTCACACTCCTCATCCTCCCACAGGCAAGATGGTCGAACTTGCGCTGTGGGACACCGCTGGACAGGAAGAATACGACAGGTTGCGGCCGCTCTCCTACCCAGAGACAGATGTCATCTTCGTATGCTTTGCGATTGACTGCCCCAACTCACTAGAAAACGTCATGGACAAGGTACGATATTTCGATTCATTTGCCTCGGGCATCGTCTGACAGTATCCAGTGGTACCCAGAGGTTCTCCACTTCTGCCCAACAACGCCCCTCATGCTGTTGGGCCTCAAGTCCGACTTGCGCAACAAGAAGAACTGCATCGAGCTACTCAAGACACAAGGCCTGACGCCCGTCACATCGGAGCAAGGTCGGGCGGTTGCAAAGAAGATGGGCGCTGCCTACATGGAGTGCAGTAGTAAAGAGCAAGACGGTGTAGAGGAGATCTTCGACATGGCCGTCACAATGGCCGTCGGCGAGGAGCACAAGGAGCAAGAAGAGCGCCGCGTCGGCACAGCGACCTCATCAAGAGGGAACACGTCATCGTTCCCTGCTGGGGGCGGTAAGAAGAAGAAGCGCAGCGGCTGCAAGGTCCTATAGTTTGTTTGTGTCTATCGAGAGGAGAGCATATCGAGATTCACGACGCTGGACGACACGATCAAGATGTTTAATGACATACGGCTCACCTCCACCACTGTCCGGGCATGTTCGCTTCCTCTTAATCCTAGGGAAGTCTTTACATGTACATGGCCGCCTGGCGTTTGGGTTTTCCTTTTGGCATGAGAATGGACGCAGCGATTCCATAGTCCACAGTAGCAGCATTTTCTTTCCTGTATCTGTATTCGGTATTCTGTATGTATGCATGGCGCGAGTGGGCGATCAAATTTGCCAGCGCCGGGGAAGTAAATCAAACATATTTCTGAAACCTGTTTTTCTCCAAATTGATCGTCACTAGCCGATGACAGAACTCGTGTCGCTGACCGCTTTCATGATTGCATTCGCCCCAAAATACAAGGGGAGTGAAATGGTGCGTACCTTAGTCTCAAGTATCATACACACGGTGTATCTTCTGTGTAAAGGTATAATACAACGTGAAGTCTGCGATCCCCTGGCGTCGCGCACCGTGCCAATGACTCGCTCTGGGGTATCATTACATCATACTTGCTATCGCCATGGTATGTTCGACGGCTGGCCGTGCACCACCTGGCGCGTTGTTCTTTATCTTAGGCTGACAAGGTTACCTCCCTGCCACCGCTCATTTCCTTTCCTGAGTCACTTCTGTCTCACCTTCATGTTCCGTTGCGCCCTCTTGTGGTCCTTCTTGTTGCTCGCTCGGGTCCTTGGCCATGACGTTCTCAAAGTGGCTCCATAGCGACTCGACGGGAGCGAACTCGTTTCCGACGGATGTGACTTCTTCGAGCGAACGGTTCAGCTTGTTGATATTTTGTAGGACGACTTCTAGACTCTGGCTGTTTGTTAGTATAAACCGGTCAGGAAGCTGGGATTCAGAGGGCTGCGGTGCGCTCCGTGGTGGATTGCGTGGGTGCACGTACTTGGGCGATTTCGGTGACGAGCAATTCGCGCTGTTGCTCGTAGTATGATTTTGGCGGCGCGGTGTCTTGACCGTTGGTTGACGCGGGAAAGTATGGCGGTGCCATGTTTGGTGTTCTTTCGTGTCGTTGCGATCACTTGACACGAGGTAACAACCTGAACAGTCCTGCAACCTATCGAACAAGGGGAAGCAAACAAGAAGACGTCGCGTCAATGTAGGCTCCACGGTGTTCAATATCTCTTCATTAGGCTGCGCTGGGCGCGAATCTTGGGTTGCGGGAGCCGTTTCGTGACGCCGGGTGGCCGGTCATACGCGTTAGTAAGCCCTGCCGCGCTAGGCCATCACCGGTCTAGCCCCTTCACCGCACCACTCATGTCCCATGGAACCAGCTTTTT